GCCCCAAAGTGAATATGGGATGTATATTACATATTTGTTTATTCATTGCGCCTGTGCTCAGCTCTCCTCATAAATATGTATAGCTTCTCCCCCAAACCTGCTGAATATGTATGACTCTATTGTGTAATACAGACTGAGAGGAATGAAATCCAACCTGTCCTTCCCCTGTTTGAAGAGAGAGCATCTTTGGTCCATCCTGGAGACTTTCTTTTTAAGCTTGCAACTGATATCACCAATAAAGCTCTTCTTTCTACTATTTAGTCATCCTGGTGGTCTTTTGGATGACAAGTTTTTGTGTCCCATAGTTATACCCATTGCTTAGGCTTGCCATATAGAAAATGCTATTCATAGACACAGCTCTTCATTTGAGTGCTTAAAGGTAAGTTTAAAATGTGGAAACAGGCTGGGCGCGGTGGCTCGTGCCTGTAATCCCAGCACTTTGGGAGGCTGAGGTGGGTGGATCACCTGAGGTCAGGAGTTCAAGACCAGCCTGGCCAACGTGGTGAAAACCCATTTCTACCAAAAATACAAAAATTAGCCGGACGTGGTGGCAGGCACCTGTAATTCCAGCTACTCAGCAGACTGAGACAGGAGAATCACTTGAACCTGGGAGTCGGAGGTTGCAGTGAGCCGAGATCATGCCATTGCACTCCAGCCTGGGTGACAGAGTGAGAATTCATCTCAAAAAAACAACAAAAAAAGGTGGAAACACCATTTTGGAGGTTTTCTTTCAATAGTAAAGATGTTGCCCAAAAGGAAATACATTTCTATGGTACCCTTTGGGTGTTGCAGGGAATTTTATACACCTCCATAAGGAAAGTGTATAACATTCTTGGGAGCTGCCTTCAAGCATTTACTGTACAGGGAAAATGGAAGATGCTCTGCGGAATGAGTGTCTCACTGTGGATTGGTCCAGGAACCAGTTCAGCACATGGTAGCAGCTATTCCTTTTTAATGTAAACTGATGGAAGTTCTGTTTCCTTTTGCCTGATTCTCTTGTTTTTGGCAAATTCTTATTTGAAACTATTTTTGAACTAGAATGTTTTGAGCTAGGAGAACCTGCAGAAAACATCTTATTTATGGATGCAGAAGGTAGCACAGAGAGGTTAAGGAACTTACCTGAAGTTACACAGCTAATTTGTGGCAAAAATGGGATTCACATCCAGGTTTAGTATGTCGTTTGAATCACGCCATAACGTGCTTTGGAGAATTGATCTAAAGAATTGACTGTTGAAAAGAATTCAGGTTTATAAATCTAAAAATCATGTAGATCACAAAATGTCATGAGAGAAAACACTGAGAATATTGAGAAATGTTGAGAATATTAGAACAAATTGAAGTTGTACCTATTTCAAGAAAAATAAAATCTTTCCTGTCGTTATGTGTATAATGATTTTTAGATTATTTTTTAAATTGCCAAAATTCAATTTGGCAAAGCAATGAACTTTGAAACACATGTTAATACACTGAAGTTTTATTTACTGATTTTCTATAAACAAATGAACACTGAGATGTTATCTATAATAATGAATATTCTTTTGTTCCTGGAACACACTGAAATATTGTGTTGGAATAAAATAAAAATTACAATGCTATAGAGGTTAGCACTGGAGGTTAACATATTAGTATGATGTGTAAAATATAGTATTGAACAAAACAGACATAAATCAGCATATTGTGTGATTCCATTCATACGAAATGCAAAAATGGGTGTATTAGTCCGTTCTCACATGGCTGTAAACAGATACCTGAACATGGATAATTTATAAAGAAAACAGGTTTAATTGGCTCACAGTTTTGTAGCCTGTACAGGAAGCATGGCTAAGGAGGCCTCAGGAAACTTACAGTCATGGGGGAAGGTGAAGGGGAAGCAGGCTCATCTTACATCGACAGAGAAGGAGGAAGAGAGTGAGGTGGGATGTGCTACCCACTTTTAAACCACCAGATCTCCTGAGAACACACTGTCACGAGAACAGCAAATGGGGAAATCTGCCCCTTTGATCCAATCACCTCCCCCCAGGCTCCTCCTCCAACACTGGGGATTACAATTCAACATGAGATTTGGGCAGTGACACAAATATCCAAACCCTAACAATGGGCAAAACCAATTTAGACTGTTACAAGTCAGGATGGTGGCTGTGCTTGGGATGGGCTCCTGGAAATTGCTGGAATTTGGGTGTGAGGGGCTGATCATGTTTCTTGATTTAAGTTCTGGTTACATATGTATGTTCAGTTTGTGAAAGTTTATCAAATTGTGCATTACTACCTATGAATTTTTCTGAACGTATATAAATATACGTTCAATTAAATACATTCAATAAAATGTTTTAAAAATATGTATATCATTTCATCTTAGAAACAGAACGTGTTAATAAGTGACTAGTTTTTGGAAGAAATTACTATAGCATATGTTTTAAAAAAAGATGTTGGGGTGGGGTTTTTAACTTTCCATAATGCTGTAAAGTTTGCAACATTCACACAGTCACAGAACAAATAGAACTTTGACTTTGGTTTCAAAATTTATGCAGCTGCCTCCATATACTTTTGACAGTTTAATCTCATATTTAACAGTTACAAAGCATGTTTTAGACATCAAGAGGATACATGGAGATGGTGGTAGGACTTATATACCCATGGTCATGTAAAACAGGAAAAATGTCAGCAGAAATAAACTGTTATGCTGGTCTATTGAATGACTTTGTCAGCTTTATAAAGGAATGAATATATAGTGTTGAAGGATAATCTTTCTGAATTAGTAAGTTATTTTTTAAAAAGCACGTCTAAATAAATACCCTATTTTAGAAGAAATATAATGTTAGGCATACTAATGTATAAAACATAGTTTTTGAAAGAAACAACTGATACCCTTTAAAGCTTACATAAGACTAGAAATAATCTGAGTTCCAAATGCTCCCCTCTTTGGTTGAAGCAGGAATATTCTATGAGGCATTTAAGGGAAGAGAAGCAGGGATTGTGAGTAAAAAGGGTGTGGACAGTTTCCTCAAGTGAAACTTGCTTGGATAATCAGTGGCTGAACTAAAAAATTCACTTATTTAGACTTTTCACCAGTTTCATAACTAAGTTCTTCTCCAAGAGAGGCTGATGTATATTTATGTAACCATCTATTAGGGCTTAAAAAGTTTACAATTTCAAAAGACTCCTGCAAGGAAATAGGCCCTATTTTTTCTCCCAAATACCCTGAACTTTGGGGCTAGATAGCTTCTTAGTCTAACTGTAACAAAGGAATCCTTTTGTTTAAGATCTTTGTTCATTTGACTTTTGATATTTCTTGCTTTTGTCAACAAGAGTTAAATTCTATGTGACCTCATATCCCAGCATGATGTTCTCAATAAGCTGATCCAATTATTGCATCAAAAATGCTCCTTTTAAAAAATAGAGACCTGTTTCAATTTCTTCTCAATGGAACGTGCAGTGTGTATTTCTAAATAAATTGAAAAAATAGATGTCAGTTAGAAGCAGGTGGCTGCTACATATTTTTGCAGTACTTAGGCAACTAATTGGCTTATTTCTTTTTAAGAAAAACTAATGAGGAAAACATCCTTTTCTAAAGAATTAAACTTAGCACCATAATCATATTATGTTTACTTAGCATCATCATTATGTTTACTTAGCGCTTTCCAGTTTGCAAAGCATGTTTCCTATTTTTTTCGTTATTCAATACTCACAATAATTCCATTAGTACTAGTTAGGTATGATTGTTACTCCTGTTTTACAAATGAGAAAACTCTGACTCAGAGGGCAGAGCCAGGGCTGTCCGCCTGTGTGTTTAGCTGGGTTCCATCCTTTCCACGACATCATACGGACTTGTGACCAGAAAGGGGAAGAATTTTTTCTAACTTTTTTTTCTGAAAAAAACAATTTTTTCAAATGATATGACAGAATATAATTGATATACAGAGAATATTATTTTCAAATTAGACAAAGTTTTTCATTTTATTCAGCAAATTAATTTTATTTCAAAATAATAGTTTCTTTTATTCGACAGGTATTTGTTCAGTAACTCCTGGGAGCCACAAATAATTCTGGGTTGTGGGGTGAAAATGCACATGGTAGAAGTTGTACGAAAGGTATCATCTGCCCTCTTGAAGGTCATGGAGTTCTCAGCAAGACGCCCATTAAATAATCACACACAAATGGATAAATGTTTAAATCGATGGTACATACTAAAACTTTAGAGGGAGCTATGAGAGATTACCTGGGAACTCAGTTTAGACCGGGAAGGCCTCTTGAAGGGAGTGGCATTTAAGCCTTGAAGTAGGATACAGCTGGGTGAAAGGTTGGGGAGGGGAGGGAAGAGCATTCTAGATGGAGTGAACGAAGTGTGTGCCAAGTGCCTGAGGCAGAGACATTGGGACCTCTAGGAGATGGGAGCAGCCCAGATGTGAAAAGAGCACAGCGGATAATGTATGGTTTTTGAGGCTGCTGAATGTGGGGAGGCCATTAACATCTTTTGAGGAGGGGTACGGTGTATATTTTAAGACCATCATGCCTGCTGCTGGAAAAAGGAGGGGCAAGGAGTTGGAAGAAGGGTTAGGATGGACCTGGAAGAGGAGGACTCCCTCAAAACCATGCCATGAGGGTATTTTAAGAACAAGGGAGAGGTTGAGTGTGTTAATTGCCATAAGAAGCTTCCAAAGCAGCTCTTGAACCTGACAATGCCGGGCCAGTGATGACCCCACAGGGTTTGGGATGGAAACTAGTTGGGGAGAGTTGACATGGAGACCTTACTTGCAGACCTGCTTAATAAGAATGTAGTTGTCACGGGAACGGGAAAGATAGAGAGGGTGTTGCATGGTCTGAATGTTTGTGTGCCTCCTTAACTCATATGTAGAAATCCTAACCTCCAAGGTGATAATATTAAAAGGTGGGGTGTTTGGGAGGTGCTTAGGTCGCAAGGGAAAGCCCTTGAGTGGGACTAGTAACCTTATAAAATAGGCCCAAGGCAACTTGTTCGTCCATTCCACCCTGTGTGCTGGCAGTGAGAAGATGGCGGTCTGTGAACCAGGAAGCAGGTCCTCGCCAGACACCGAGGCATCTGCTTGTGCCCTGATCTTGGACCTCCCACCCTCCAGAACTGTGAGTTTCTGTTGTTTATAAACCACCCAAGTCTAGGATATTTTGTTTTTTGTTTGTTTGTTTGTTTTGAGATGGAGTTTCCCTCTTGTTGCCCAGGCTGGAGTGTAATGGCACAATCTCTGCTCACTGCAACTTCCACCCCTTGGGTTCAAGCAATTCTCCTGCCTCAGCCTCCCCAGTAGCTGGGATTACAGGCCCCCGCCACCACGCCTAGCTAATTTTTTTTTTTTTTTTTTGTACTTTGAGTAGAGACAGGGTTTCACCATGTTGGCCAGGCTGGTCTCAAACTCCTGACCTCAGGCGATCCACCCGCCTCAGCCTCCCAAAGTACTGGGATTACAGGTGTGAGCCACCACACCCAGCTTTGGGATATTTTGTTATAGCAGCCTGAACAGACTAAAGACGGGGTGTACATAGGGCAGGGAATTGAAGGAAAGTGTTTTGTCATTGTTTTTGTTTTTGTTTTGAGATGAGGTCTTGCTCTGTTGCTCAGACTGGAGTGTAGTGGCACCATCATGGCTCACTGCAGCCTCGACCTCCAGGACTCATGTGATTCTCCCACCTTAGCCCCCTGTGTAGCTGGGAACCCAGGTGTGTGCCACCACACCTGGCTAAGTTTTTGTTTTTATTTATTTTTTGTAGAGACGGGGTCTCCCTGTGTTGCCCAGCCTGACTTTGAACTCCTGGGCTTAAGCTGTCCTCCCACCTCAGCCTCCTAAAGTGTTGGGATTACAGGCCTGAGCCACCATGCCTGGCCTGAAGGGACGATCTTGAAAGTGGAGCATACTAAAGTATCTGCGCACACTAATGAAAGTCATTCATCAGTGAAAGAGAGATTGATGATGGTGGTGGTAGGTAAGAGAAAGAATCTTACAGACATACACTGTCAGCTAATCAAAGAAGGAAAGCCGTGGGCAGTCACAAGAACATGTGGCCACAATGCATGTGGAGCATTTTATACTGTTTCATGCTGCTCCTGGGATAAGAGAGACACTTCCGTTGTGGTAACAAGAGGGAAAGGCAGAGAAGATGGGTTTACAGATTTGGTTTGGGAGGATGAAGACGTTTCATTCCAATTGGTGGTTTTTTCTCCTCCTTTAGGAAGCATGAAGTGGGGTCAGAGTGAAGGGCAAGAGGAGAGCTGGGGTTGGGCAGACTGAGGCTGTCTGGAGAGATGATATGGCCTTAGTGTGGAGATGAAGAGAAAGCTTGCTAGGCAGTGTCCTTGGAAATGGCTGAGGATGATCTTGACACGAGTCCCCGTGCTGGGTATTTTTCCTCAGCGGCATTTAGCTGTGCAGTGTGTGGGGTTCATCTAGTTTTGGAAGACTGTTGGAAGAGTTATTGGTTGATTCAGATGATTAATAACTGAGTTGGGCATGCTTTCCAAAATGCTTACGATTTCTATCAAAATATTCAAAGTGAATATGATGCCACAAGGGGAACCCCTGAAATCCATGGCACTTCCACAGCACTGACACGGCCTTCCCAGCTTCTGTATTTCTATTGTTGGGAGCAAAGGCAGAGATGGAGACAAAGAACTGGAATTTAGACATTGGAGATTTCGTTTCTGGCTGCTACATTCCAGTGCAGTGTTACATAGTTCAGAAGGCTGGTAAGTAAAGTACAGTGAGTCCCATGACCAGTTTAGAAGTGTGCCTCTCTGGAACTCACTGTCATCTCAGAGCACAGAACTGCAGGAAGCTCATGGAGTCACTTTCAGGTCACTTCTCAGAGTTAAAGTGGAACCATCTGTCCACCCCTTGCCCACACACCTTCCTTCCTTGACCCTGTACCCCTCCGGTTTTCTTATCTCTTTCTTTCCTTCACAGCAGGCCTTCTACTTCTTCTGCCTCTCTTTCTTCCCTTTCCGTGAACTCTTCGGCGCCTTAAATGCCAGCATCTACCTCTCTGCAGCTGCACTCCCCAGGCTCTCAAATGACTTTCTGGTGGTTATAGCCGGTGGAAACTCTCCAACTGCCATCTTACTTGATTTGTCCTATATTATTTCCACTGTGCTGTCTCCTGCTTAGTGAATTCTATGGGCTTATTCTCTCCTTAGTTTCCCACCTATCTCAATGGCAAATTCTTCTTGGTCTCTTTTGTGGGTTCCTCTTCCTCCTCTCACTCCTAAAACATCATAGGTCCCTCAAAACTTTGTCCTGAGTCAAACTGATGTCTCCAGCAAGGCTGACACTGAGGGCTATTCCTGTCTAACTAGGCAGCTCCATGTGTATGTGTTCTGTAAAGGCCTCAAACTTCATATGTTCAAAGTTGACCTCATCATCTTCTGCTGAACTATTTTTGCAAATGTCACTGCTGTTCACCAGGTTCCTCAAGTCAGAAACCAATGGATCATTGTCAATTTCTCCTTTTATGTTTTCCTGTACATCTAATTAATCACAAAGCCTTATCCAGTGTATATCTTAAACACCGCTCTCCTCTGTTTGCTTCCCACAACACAACTGTCGTCATTCTAGTACAGGGGCTTCTACCTCTCACCTGAAACATTAGTAACACTCTCCTTTCCTTCCCTCCCGTTTCTAGATACCTCTCCATAATCTACCTGCAACAATGTCAATAGAATCACCTTTCTAGCATGCAAATTGTCTTGTCACCTCTTTGCAAGGAATTCTTCAGTGACTCTGTCTCACCTACAGCATATAATTTTTACTTTTTTAGAAGGACACAGAGGCATCTTTACAACCAGGCCTACACTTTAGACCTAGGTCTTGGAGCCCTTACCAATGAAGCATTTTGATCTACTTCTCAATAACCACGATCTTGCATGCCTCTTGGTCTCGGCATATGCTGTTCCCTTCCCCCAGTATATCCTCCCATGCTTGTCTGTCACATTTGGTGAAACGTGCCATTTTCCTGGCTCAGTACCTGGAGGTCCAAAATGGAGGCTAGAGAAACAATAAGTACCAGAAACTGCCCACATTTAGAGCCAGACACTCCAGCAAGGATTACTAAAGAGTCTGCACAATTTCCTTACAACCCTCAGCCATGACTCTTATCTTTCCCTGTGTTCCCAAGGATGGTAGAGAGAGGGAATCATTGGAGTCAGTAGTCACTGGCCTGGTGAGGGAATGCATGGCTTTTCCACTTCCTCACCATGGGGTAGGGAGGGCTGTTTCCCTTAAAGCCAAGTGTGTGTGGTGAGCAGCAAGAGAATCACTTGTAGAGATGAATCACAAAAAGGGAAGGCTGGTGTCACATTCCCTGACTGCAAGCCCATGAAGCTGGAAACCTATCGGTCCACTCTTGTGCTGCCAAAGAGCAGAGGAGAACCTGGGGAAGGGATTCCAGGGGGAGCCTGACATGCGTCCTGGGAGTTTAGGAGTACACATGTATGTAAGTAGAAATGGATGCCTCCTCTGCCTGGAACTCTAGGGCAAGAGCCTTTCTGGAATACCCCTTGCCAGGAGAGGGAGTAAGAAACACACAGTTTAGTGTGCTTTCTCAAGCTTGTCCAACCCATGGGCCACATGCAGACTAGGACAGGTTTGCATGTAGTCCAACACAAATTCGTAAATTCTCTTAAAACATTGTAAGATTTGCTTGTGATTTTTTAAAAACTCATCATCTATCGTTAGTGTTAGTATATCTTATGTGTGGCCCAAGACAATTTCTTCCAGTGTGGCCCAGGGAAGCCAAAAGATTGGACACCCCTGCTTTAAATGAAGAGGTGATCTCATTTCAGTTCTCTTTTGCCTTCGGGGTATGTGGAAAAGGACTTCAGTGACTTCTGTGGGTATTGAGCACAGAAGTTAGGTGAGAAACAGAGAGTAATTAGGAGGCATCTGAGGCAAAAGCAGGCCCAACTTCAAGAGGAGATTGAGAGCATGGGCCACTGTCAGAACCAGACACATGGCTGCCCCTTTCTGAAGGGGTCATCAAGGATGGGGGAGGCAGAGGTGAGCCTGAACTCACCCCCTAAAACCACACATGCTGCATTTGTAGAGACCACCATATCAGTAGAGGGCACCACCGTCAGATTGAACCAGAGTGGACCAGAGATGCATCCCATCACCGTCACTAGTGGGACAACGGTTGCTCAGCATAGCCTCAGGTTTCCTGTATGTTTCCTCCAGTCTTCATTCCTGCCAGAGGCAGACTCAGGAGAGGGAGGAGAAGCAGGTGTTCCAGGACTAGATCACACTCTTCTGTCCAAGTCAAGGTGCTGGCATGGGAGGGTACAGAATGGAAGAAGAGATTTAAATTGCACATGTGTGCATGTGCCCTACACCCATACAAACACACACACAGAGTTTTAGGCATCAAGAAAGGACTTGGAAAAATAAAATTAAATGCTTCTAGTGCTTGAGAGTCTCTATAGGCCAACCTATCTTAGGTTTTCTTAAATCAGAACATACTGATATGATAAAATGATACAAAATTAGCAAGGACACACAGGATATTTTGCAAACTTGGACTAATGTAGTGAAATATTGGCTCACTGACTAGTTAATTCCTCTAAGAAATCATTCCAAATGTATTCGTATTTGTGTTAGTTCTTTCAGGCTGCTATGATAGAATACCATAAACTGGGTAGCTTATAAACAAGAGAAACGTATTTCTTAGAGTTCTTGGGGCTGGGAATTCCAAGATCAAGGCACCAGCAGATTCTTGTCTAATGAGGGCTTGCTTTTATCTAATGAGGATGATAGACGACACCATCTAGCTGTGTCCTAAATTGGTCCAAGGAGTGAATGAGCTCCCTCGGGCCTATCTTACAAGGGTACTAATCCCATTTATGAGGACTCTGCTTTCATAACTGATCACCTCCCAGAAGGCCTCTCTCCCAGTTACCTTGGAGGTTAGGATTTTAACATAAAAATTTGGGGGGAACATGAACATTCAGACCGTAGCAATATCCATTTAAACTTAAGAGATATTAAAGGAAGAATAACCTATCAAAAGGGTTGAAATTTTGAACAAGATATCTAATATGAATCAATGATCATCAAATCAAAATCAAGATGTACATCAAAGCAATAGTAAATTAAGAAACATTTATATTCATCAGTAAGCAGATGGAAAGCCATGGATTCGTGCATGAGCCAGTCACTCTCAGTGATTCCCAGTATTTTCTGATGAATTGCAGTTTAAAGCCAGGCTGTCAAGAATTAAGAAACACACAACTTTATAATGCAGTTAAATATTTTTCTTATAGTTGTACTTTAAATGCCTTCTAGAGAAAATAAAAATAGCATAAGATTTTTGCTTTGTTTTGGTGGAATTTTGACAAATAAGGAGCTGTACTTCTGTGAGATACCCTCTGTGAACCATTGTGTGGTTTAGAACACTGATTACCCACATCGTGGTCCAAACAATGGGTTTGGGATGTTGCTTCAAAATCTTAGTCAGATGTTTTAATGAAGAAATCAGAGAGTTAAATATTAAATAGTATGGACTTTTAAACTGAAAATGAGTAGCAACTTACTAAATCTTCCCCAACGTGTTAAGAGATGGAAAATAGGGATTTGAGAGAGAGTACAGTTGAATCCATAGATTGGAGAAAAATATAAAATGATTTACATTTTGACCACCCCCCAAGTTAATACTTCTAAACAAACCAGTTATTTAACACTGTTTGTCAGTAGTTTTTTAGTTAACTGAATTTCTTGTTGTTCAAGATTTCTGTTCTTTGCTTTTTCCTTTATATTAGTTTTCTATCGCTGTATAACTAATCACCCAAAATTTGGCAGTTTAAAACAACATTATTATCTCATGGTTTCTGAGAGTCAAGAATTTGGATGCAGCTCAGCTGAGATTCTAGGATTCCAGGCCTTGCATGAGTTTATGGTCAAAGTGCCAGCTTGGGCTGCAGTCTTATCTGAAGACTCAAGTGAAGGGAGATCTCTTCCAGGCTCCCTCATGTGGTTGTTGGCAGGATTCAGTTCCTCATGGGTTGTTGGGCTGAGGGCCTCAGCTCCAAGCTGACTGTTGGCTAAAGGTCTCCCTCTATAATAAGTGGGCCTCTCTACAGGGCAGCTCACAACATTGTGGCTAGCTTCCTTCAGAATGAGTGAGTGAGAAAGTGTTAAAGAGAGAAGTCACATTTTTTAATAATCTAATCTCAAAAAGGACATCCCATCACTCCTACCATGTTCTGTTCATTAGAAGTGAGTTAGTACATCCAACCCACACTCAAGGGGAGGAGATTGCACAAATTCATGAATAACAGGAGGTGGGGATCACTGCAGGTCATCCTAGTGGCTACTAAATCCTCTCTCCCATACCACTCCTTTCCCTCTACTCTTTTCTCCATAACTCCCAGTCTCACCCAGTGAGTGACCTGGCTTCCTATTCTTTAAGAAAATAGATGGTAAGGTTTTCTTTTATCTTTTTCCAACTAAGTTTCAAATCTTCTTCATCTTCAGCCATTATCTTCTTTCCTGTTGTTATCACTGACAAATCGCTCTTCTTCCTGCCCTCCCCTGTCACAAATAAAAATGTCCCTAGGCCTCCTTGTTCTCCGTAAGCTATCATCTCATTATTCTGCTCTCTTGTACGTAAACCTCTTTGAACAAGTTGCCTTTACGTGTTCTCTCAACACCTCAATTCCCATTCATTCATTGGCCTTAAACATGCTTCTGCCTCATTACTTCATTGAAATTGTTTTTTTCAAGATCACCAACGATTTCTATGTTGCTATATCCAAAGAGCATTCCTCTGTCCTTGATGACATTCAACATGGTTGGCCATTTCTTTCCTTCTCTCTTGGTTTCCATGACACCACACTTATGTGGTTACATATTTTTTTTCTAACCACTCTGGTCACTCCCTTCTAGGCTCTTTTGTTGGTTTCCCTTCTATCCAGGTTCTAAATGTTGGTATTTTCCAGGGCTCAGCCTGTGTCTTCCCTTTTTCCACAAGTGACCTCGTTCATTTCTGGGGTTATAAGAACCACTTAGCTGTGGGTGAACCTGAAGTTAACTTATTCAACCAATACATCCTCTGAACTATAGAATGGATTCTTTAACCATTTACTTGATAACTCCATTTGGATATCTGAAAGGGACCGCAGGCTGAATGTGTATAATAGAACTTCTGGGTTTTCTAGCTTCCCTCTCCCTAACTTGTTTCTCTCTAGAATTCCCTGCCTCCATAAATGGAGCTAGCAGCCAACTTGTTTGCTCAAGTATAAATCTTTGGTTCCTCCTCTTCCTCAATCTTCCTTTCCAATCTGTCCACCAAGTCCTGTAATTTCCTTATTTTCTAAATATATGTCCAATATATTCCACTATTTCCATCCTAATCTAAGCCATCTTCTGTCACCTGGCTCACTAGAGTAGCTCTCCATTGACATTCCTCTGCAAAGAAGCCAATTAAAATAATCTATTGACTTATATTTCACTTGGTGAAAACCCTTGGGTGCCATCCCTCTATCCTTTGAAAATCTAAATTTCCCAAGGTCACATATGATATGTCTTTTGCTGATCATCCCAGCCTCAGATCACCCCATTCACCGTGCACTATGTGCTAGCTATATTAGCTTTCAGCAGTTCTGAAGCCCACCAAGTCTCTGTCATTTCCAGGCCTTTGCACATGCTATTCCTTCAGCTCGAAATGCGTTGCCTCATTATTTCCCCATGGCTGGCTCATGCGTTTACCAAAATAAGTAATGACAGATTTACTCATTGTCTATTTATTGCTTATTAGACTGTAAAGCCCATAAAAACAGAGACCAAGCCTGCTCTGTACACACTGTATACCCAGCAACAAGCACTTAAAAAGTATTCAAAAAATATTTTGGTAAACAAACAATCTCACAGTCTCACATTCATGCTCCAGGTCTCAATTCAAATCTGCCTTTTTAACAACCTTCCCAGCCCATGAAGCCTTCCCAGATTCCTTCAGACTGACCCACGGATTCCCCTCTCCTATATGTTATTTATATATTTTACATGCCTTCACTGGAGCAGTTGCTGTGGTGTTGAGAGTTCCTTGCACGTCCATCTCCACGATAGCTCATAAACTCATTGAGGTCAGGGACCTTATCTTTTCATCTCTAAAACCCCAAGCCTGCTTTATAGTGCCTGGGGTCCACCCAGCAGGTGCTCCATGCACATTTGCCTAATGGTGTTCTGAGGGTCCTTGACAGCAGCCCTCTTCTGGCCCTTGGATGAGAAGAAGGAAACTTTTTTCCTGGCTCAGTCATGAAACCCAGGCCCCTGACTGCTGCCAGCTGCCTCCCTCAGGAACCTGCAGCAACCTGAAGCCAAGTCCAAGCTTCTCTGGGAAGTGCCCCTTTGAGGCCCTGAGATTTTGCTGAGTGAAACATACTTACAGTAGGAAAGAACATAATCTTGCAAAGAATGTTTCTTGAGTGCCTCTGCTAAAAGGTAAGAGAAAATGACCTAGGGCAAAGGTAATTATTGCAAATGGTTAACATGGAGCACACACTTTACTAACCTTGTAAGTGATAATAACATCACTTTATTAATTGGATTCAAGCAGCATCTTTCTTTCCCTTTGGTTCATTTCAGATGACAGGGACAGACCCCACTCTTTCCTTAGCAAAGTGTGCCCTGGTGACGGCAGCCCCATCCTTCTGGCATCGTCTGGAAGAGCTCCCTTTTACCAATGCTGGGGAGTCTGAATTTGAAGCAGGTGTATGAATGCATTTGAAAGAATCTCTTCCAGATGCCAGAAGATTCGGTTCTGGAGAAGGACGTGAAGGAAAATTATGAGAACAAGTGTCCTATTCACATGCTAGGAAAATAAATGTTTTACTAATCCTTAAATAACATTTTACTCTGAGGTGTATTGGCAAATTTTAGTTTTATTTCGGTATGAGAGTCTCATATTTGGGAGTGTGATTTATACACATTTAAGCAGTAGAGGTGATTGCTAAAATTAGCTTCTGTCATCCCATGCTAATGTCTGTATAGGAAGAGAATAATATAATTTTAAAGTCCTGACATTTTCGTTATGTTTAGTGGATAATTTACTATTTATTATCATTGGATACAATGTAGTTTAATCATTAAAAATGCACATACTTTCCTATGTTTCTCAGCCTTCTCGTGGTAGAGAAAGTATGCCATCAGAAAGATGGCCTATGTGTTCTGTTTCTCTACTCAAGGCTTAATGAATAAAATTCCATCATTAAACAAATATTTGTTTAGCACCTTTTCGTGTGCCAGGCACTGTGCTATGTGCTGGGATACAACAGAGCTTACAGTCTGGATTTTTGGCTAGGTGGAAAGTGGGGTGTGGTGGATTCTCACCTGTGCAAATCAGACTGGATATCTGGGGAGTGACTTAAAAGTTAGCTATGTGTTACCTGTTCTACCCCATTCACTTGTTTATAGAGTAAACTCACAAGCCTCTATAGGAAATTTGGGAAAATAATACCATCTAAAAGCCCAAACAGTAGTTTCTATTTATATGGAATATACCATATGGATCTTATTGGAGTAGATTTGGCATATTTAATGCATTTGAATCAAGTAAAAGGAAAAATCAGCATGTACTCATCAGTGCAGAGAAATAGTGACTGCATTCATTACATAGTCATTAGACAAAACTGTCCTGGGACTAAAATTTTACTGCAATTAATAATATGATCTGTAGATAGTAAATTCTCCCTAGACAGTAAATTATCTGGGTATTTAGAAGTTGACTCCAGGGAAGCCCTCTCATCCCTGAGGGCCTGGCTCCCCTCTCCCACCAAGAGACACCTGGGGACCTAGGGAAGGCCCTTCTGTCTCTTCAAGCAGCACAAGTAGGAATCAGTGGGAACCCCAACCACAGCAGAAAAACCAAGCAGACCAAGATAACCACACAAAGCCTCTGGAAATTAAATTGCCTTTGGAACCATCACCCACAAAATTAGGCCAGGACCTGCATGCTGAACCTAAACAGGACAACTTCCTGATAAAATACAATATGTAAATAGAACTCAGAGACTGTTAGCATAATAGACAAAACATCCAGGATACAATAAAACATCACCTTCTTACCAAGAACCAAAACTTCCCAACTTAAATGAGTAAAGACAATCAACTGTCCACATCATTGAGTCATCAAGGAAATGCGAATTAAAACAACAGTGAGACACTACTACATCCCTGTTAGAATGGCCAAAATTCAAACAATGACAACGCCAAAAGCTGGTGAGGACACGGAGCAACAGGAACTCTTACTTATTGCTGTCAACCGCTTTGGCAGACAGTTTGATAGTTTCTTACAAAACTAAACATTCTCCTACCATATGATCTAGCAATCACACTTCTTGGTATTTATCCAAAGGTGCTGAAAATTTATATCCACACAAAAACTTGCACACAGATGTTTATAGCAGCTTTATTCATAACTGACAAAACTTGGAGTCAATCAAGATGTCCTTCACTAGATAAATGAATAAATAAACTATGGTACATCCAAACAATGAAATATTATTCAGTGTTAAAAAAAATGAGCTATCAAGCCATGAAAAGACATGGAGGAAACTTAAATGCGTATTACTAAGTGAAAGAAGCCAATCTGAAAAGAATACACACTGTATTGTTCCAACTAGATGACCTTCTGGAAAGGCAAAATTATGGAGACAATAAAAAGATCAGTGGGTGCCAGATGGTGGAGAGGAGGGAAGGGTGAATGGGTGGAGCACAGAGAATTTTTAGAGCAGTGAAACTATTCTGTGTTATACTACGGTGGTGGATACATATCATTACACATTTGTCCAAATCCATAGAATGTCCAACACCAAGAATAAACCCTAATGTAAACTATGGCCATTAGATGATTATGATGTGTCAGTGTAGGTTAATCAGTTGTAACAAATGTGCCATTCTGGTGCAGGATGTTGATAATGGAAGAGGGTATACATGTAGGGGAGGCAGGCAGTATGTGGGAACTCTCTGCACTTCCTCTCAGTTTTTCTATAAACATAAATGCTCTAAAGAATACAGTTTAAAAAAAGACAATCAACTGACAGCAACACCAAGAACAATCAGATGTAGGCATTATCCCACATTATCCAAATCATCAGGAATTTTAATGCAGCTGTCATAAAAATGCTTCCACATTTAATTACAAATTGTCTTCAAACAAATGAGAAAGGAGAAAATCTCAGCAAAGAAACAGAAGCGATTAAAAAACAAATGGAAATTATAGAACTGAAAAAAATACAATTACAGAAGGAAAAAAATCTTCTGGATAGGCTGAACCGTAGAGTGGGACAACAAAAAACATAATCAGTGCACTTCAGAACATATCAATAGAGTTCGTCCATTCCGAAAAACACAGAGAAAATAGATGGGAGGCGCAGTGTGTGTTGAGGAGAATCAATAGAAACTCAGGAATATAGAACAATAACACAAGATGTAACAATTTACCATCAGAATCTCAGGAGGAGAGGAGCAAGAGAATCAGACTCAAAAAATATTTGAAGAAATAATGACTGAAAACTCTCCACATTTTTTGAAAAAAACACACGTATATGTTCAGGAAGCTGAGCAAATCCCAAACAAAATACACCCAAAGAAATCCATGTGAAGATATGTCGTAATTAAACTTCTGGGAACTAAAAGTAAAGAAGTCTTGAAAGCAGCCAGGGAGAAACAATTCATTACTTCCCTGGGGAAAAACAATTAGAATGATGGTAGATTTCTCATCTGAAACCATGGAGGCCAAACAAAGTGGCACAACATTTTCAAGAACTGAAAGAAAAGAACTGTCAACTGCAAATTCTATATCCAGTGAAGCTATCCTTCAAGAATGAAGAGAAATAAACTAATTCTTAGACAAAAGAAAATTAAAAGACGTTGTTGCTAGTGTACCTATGCTTAAAGAATGACTAAAGGGAGTTCTTCAACCAGAAAGAAAATGATAAAAGAAAGACTCTTGGAGCATCAGGAAGGAAGGAGGAAGAATTTAAAGAGCAGAAATATTGGTACATACAATCGAATATGAATTTCCTCATGAGTTTTAGAAATCATATTTAGGCCAGGTATGATGGTTCATGCCTGTAATCCCAGTACTTTAGGAAGCCAAGTTTGGGCAAATCACCTGAGCCCAGGAGTTTGAAACCAACCTGGGCAACATGGCAAAACCCCATCTCTACAACAAATACAAAAATTAGACAGGTGTGGCGGTGCATGCCTGTAGTCTCAGCTAGTAGGGAGGCTGAGGTGGGAGGATAGCTTGAGCCTGGGAGGTTGAGGCTGCAGTGAGCCATGAGCATGCCACTGCACTGCAGCCTGAGCAACAGAGAGAGACCCTATCTCAAAAAAAAAAACAACTCATATTTGATGGTTGAAACAAAAATATAATACCATCTTATATGTAAGACAATGAGATAATAATATTTAATAGTGGGAAAGTAAAGCGAACTAAGTGAATTGAACCTCAACTGAAGTAGAAATATGTTGATACCAATAGACTGTGATAAGTCACAAATGTATATTTTAGTAACCTGAGCAACCAGTGTGAAAGCTATACAAAATGATAACTAAAAAATGCTATCAATCAATCAATCAATCAATCAAGGTGGAATCCTAAAAACAACGTGCAAGTAACCTACAGGAAGGCAAGAAAAGTTGACACTAAATTTAACATCTTTATGTAATCCCACAATTTTGAGTTAAAAATGGGTTATGGAAAAACTCAACACTAAGTGGCATGAGACAATGTATAAGGAAACAGTAAATTGGGAACTAAGAAGATTGGCTTTAGTAATAATTGATGTAATATAGATTAATAAATTAAATCCTGAGTAAAAACTTAGTGATATAATTTTGTCATTACTAATCTAATTGGAATAAAGGCATGTATTATTATTATTATTGTTTTTTGAGATGGCATCTCACTCTTGTTGCCCAGGCTGGAGTGCAATGGTGCGATCTCAGCTCACTGCAACCTCCGCCTCCCAGGTTTCAGCAATTCTCCTGCCTCAGCCTCCCAGGTAGCTGGGATTACAGGTGACCACCACCACACCTGGCTAATTTTTTAAATTTTAGTAGAGATGGAGTTTCACCATGTTGGCCAGGCTGGTCTTGAATTCCTGACCTCAGGTGATCTGCCCGCCTCGCTGGTCTTGAATTCCTGACCTCAGGTGATCTGCCCACCTCAGCCTCCCAAAGTGCTGGTATTACAGGCGTGAGCCACCACGCCTGGCCCAGGCATGTATTACTTTCTACAGCAAAGGAGGTAACTGAGCTTTAATTATTACATCCTAAGATTAAAGCTACAAGAATGCTTTTTAAAAAAATTAGCTTTAATTTTAGCATAATTTTAAATCTACAGAGAAATTGCAAAGATAGTACGGAGAGTTCCTGTATATCTTACATCCAGTGTCTCCTATTATTATAACACGACATTTTACGTCATAATTAATGAATCAACATTAACATATTATTACTAAGTAAACTCCATACTTTATTTCAATTCTATAAGCTTTTTCTTAAAGTTCTTATTTTTGCTTCAATAACTCATCCAGGATACCGTATTTATAGGAGTCCTTTGAAAACGAATACTTAATGGCTAAACTTCCTATCTTGGAAGAAATTTTATATTCAGAGATGGAGCTATTATGTTACTACATAGGGAACCTTGTGGGAAGGCTATTAGGGGACTTGTCTTGAAGCTGTTCTTTCCTAGCAAGCCCTCTGAAAGTTTATTATGAGTATTATGAGAGGGTTTTGTAGTGTGGTGCTGATGCCAAAGCTTTTCCAGGCCACTTTTTTGGCATGGTCAGCATATTAACCCACAAACATTAGGGCATGAACACGATCTTCCTCAGCCATAGTAAATTCACACTACTACCCCCGGCTTTGTGCAGTGGGAGGGACCTACACAGAGGGAGAATTTGTTGCATGGCTTGTTTTTCCATGCAACGTGCACATCCTCCTATCATCTGGGTTCGCCTTCAAATGTGTCCAGAATCCAACTACTTTTCTCTACCTTCACTGTTTCCATATGAGGTCCCCTACGAGCCATTATCATTTTTTGTCTGAGCATAAACAGTTTCCTGACTGGTGTCCCTGATTCTGCCCTGGCAACTCCATAGTCTGTTCTCAACATGGTGGCCTGAGAGACTCTTAAAATTTAAGTTGGCTCCTGTCACTTCTCGCTTGAAACCATCTAACAGCCCTCCCATCTCACGCTTGTTTGTTGTTGTTCTCATACTGACTTTTTTAAACCAAAGTTTTTATTGCAAAGTAACATACATACAGAAAGCATACAGAGTCTCCGTGTAGCACTCACGAAATGATTACAATGGACTACACCTGTCTAACCACCACCCAGGTAAGGAAATAGACCAACTGTTGGGAAACCCCACGTGCTGTCATTCGATCAATTCTCCCACTCTTCTCTCCAAAGGGAACCACTACACTCTCTTCTAGATTAGGTAAG